TTTTTGGTGAAGATCAGCTGTCAAAATACACATGGTATTCACGGACTTCATGGACAACTACATCAGAAATCAGCTCTTAAGGAGAATGCTTAGCGTTTTAAAACTATGTAGGACACAACTATGACAACGAGTAAGGAGAGCTTCAATGTTTTAATTGTACTGGTTTCATTTTAAGTTATGTTTTGAAATGTTCCTTCATTTCAGAATCTGGTATTTCCTTATTTCTCTTTCACATCATTTTTCAGTTTTGAAATAACAGAGAACATGATCTTGGCAAAAAGAATCAAAGTTCATAGTTCAGTACTAATTTATCACTAGAAGACCTAAAGAGACTCCTAGTGTAAACTTCTTAAAATATACATTAAACAAAACAATGACTTAGAGTATCTTATCACAAGCTTCCATTTATACAAATGAGACTCTTTTGGGAATACAATTAGCAAAATCAATGCTTAAATAAAATAGGTCATGCCTTTCTCACAAAAATTCTAGGCAAAATGGTAGCACAAGCAGAAGTTAAGGATAAATCTTGATAGTCATTATTTTCACTGTAAAACCTTCACATTTTCATTCATTGTCTAAAATTAGGAAAAACAATTTTGTTTTACAAATTTGAGATTATATCCTGAGAAATTAAAACTTCAATATTATGATTTCCATATTCTTAGGAAAAAAAAGTCTTGGAGAGATAGAAAATTGAAATTGTTTTTAAAATGATTGATATAAACTAAATTTGAAGACAAATCAAGAAAAGTCAACAAAGACATTGTATTGGGCAAATAAGGTAAAACAAAATCACTTAACAAAAGCTATGTAGTTATCTTTGGATACTAATGTGTAAAAGAACTATTTTGTACAAGAAGTTTTCTGTCTTAAAACTATGTCAACTTCAGAGTGGACAACAACCAAAAGTAATTAAACAGCCAAAATAAAAATTGTTCTTTCTAAAAAGTGTATAGCGACCCATCTCCAAAGCAAGGGAACAGTAGTTGGAGTGAGAGGACCCTCTGCTAGGAGTTCATCCTATCCACACAGTTTGCTGTCCTTCCTTTCAAGACTTGATGTTTTTCTAAAAACAATCCTAGCACACAAAGCTTTCTGTCTCCTGTCTTTCTGCATGTTCTGGCCAGCTTGTGCAGGAGGGAAAGGAACACTTATTGTACCTGTAAACTGAAAGGTACTTGAGGTTAGAAGAGACTTTTGCAGAGAGGAGATGAAATGGTGAGGAAAACGCTTTGGAACATCTTCAGCCTAAAGTGAGCACGTATTTCTGTGGGGCTGGTGGGGCTTCCCCTGGAAAGAACCCCGGAAGGCTACCTGCATCTCCCCACCCTGAGGAAAGGTTGTTGCTGCCCTTCTCAAGTGTACTGACCACTCCCCGCTTTCTGCAGGTTTAAAGCAAAGCACTCATTGAGGATCAATGAACTTTGTCCCGTTCCCAACGCTTAACTTCTTACAGTTGGCTAAACGCACCCTCTTTTCACCTCCATGCAGGTACTGGAAAATGAAAACGAAACGAAAATTTAAAAAACCCAAAAGCTCCCACAGGGAGTTATCCAGCCCACCGGTCGCGAGGTCTTCGGAGTTGTAGACCAGCTGATCCCAGAGGGACGTGCAAATCCGTTTCGCTTAGATTTCTAGCGGATCCTCTCCGCTGAGCGGGAAAGGGGGGTCAAGTGGGACAATCCCGAGGAGAAGTCTCCCCCGCATCCTAAAGTACTTGGAAGTGCTCGCTCGTATCTGCCGGGAGTCTGGCTGATGCCATGCCACCGCCCTTCGGTGAGGTCCCCAAAGCTGCCAAGTTTAAAGTGAGATGGGCATGGAAGCGCTCTGGCTCCGCAGCCTCGGCGACTCTGTGGCCGCGGTTCGAGGCAGGATCTTGTCTTGGACTCCGAAGAAACCTCTGTTATCCACCCGGAGTCCAGAACGCCACAGGGAGAGCACAGCTGATTATAGTGGAGACCCTCGCCTACTCCGGTGGTCATCCCTGCGGGGCTGCCCTAGGTGTCCCTTAGTGGGTCTGCGCGGGGTCTTGCTGGGCCCTGTGGGGTGCTCCATCTGCCGAGCTCGGATACCTCGCTGCACCAGCTTCTGCGGAGATCCTTCAACCTTCAGCCCCGGGTCAGTGGTCGACTTCGATGGAGACGGAGAAGTGGATGGCAGCCCCTGACAAGCTCTTCCGAAACAAAGCAGTCTGAAGAGTTGTGTGGATTCCTAAACCCTGGATTGGACCAGGAGCCAGAGGAAGGGGATGGGGGTGGGGAGCGAGAAGGGAACATGGAGAAGAAAGAGGAGATGAGAGGAATTTCCCCCAAAGCACGCCACTCCGGGGCTCCTCTCAGAAAGAGGCAGCTGCGTGGGTCCTGGTTACGCGTGGGTGCCCTGCGCGCGCTGGGGTGAGCTAGTGGGTGTGCTTGAGTCTGCACGCGCTTGTGCACCCGCAGGGCTACAGCAAGCCTGGCACAGCTCCAGTGGTAGCAAAATTCAAGAAAACCCAATCTTGGGAGGTTAACAGCAGATGCTAGCAAGTAGGCCAGGATCACTTCCTCGACAGCGTCTCCTGGCCAGCTCTACTCTTCCTTTTCGGGTTCAGAGTGACGTCTGGGCAGCCAGGATTGAAGCAGTTGGGTGCTAGCGGGGGCCGAAGATCACGCGTGGGGAAGCCATAAAGGAACACGTAAGGTTTCAAGGCTCCAGCTAAAAAGAAACAGCTTGATTCACTCAAAGGTCCTAGAAGGAAGATTTGCTCTATTTGCTGACTTTTCGGGGATGAGGGACCTGGCTGGGATGTGGAATGAAATCTCTGGGCATCTCAGTGGCTCCAGGCCAGGGCCTACCCTAGAGGTCCTGTCTTATCACACCTCTGTCTGATTCTCAGCCTTCTCTAGAGCCTGGACCCCAGAGGCCAGACCTTGTTTAGAAGGAGGAGGCTTGTTTTGGGCTTAACATACTAAAATGTGTTCCTCAGCAGTGCTTCTTAATTTCTGATGCAGAGCTGAATGTCAAATAGGAACGCACTCTTCAGAACGCATTTCACCTGATTAATAAGCAAACCACCCACCTATAACCAAGGGACACGGGAGCCCGCTTCAGGTGACAGAGACCCCAAGTCACAGCTCTCAGCGTGAGCTTTCCCCCACGGGTTTATCGCTAAGGACTTTCCAAGCTGCCTTTCCAAGCTGCAGCCTGACCCGGTGACACTTCCTTCTCCCCAGCCTGGGGCGATAGGCAAACTCCTTTTTTCCGGAGACCGGGACGCCCCCTGCAAGTTGGCTTTGCTCGCTCCTCCAGGTTTTTCATCGTTTCCCCTCCCCCTGCCTGCAACGCCCCCGCGCCTCCTCCGCCCGCCCGGGGATTCGCCGGCGCTCCCGGGCCTCTGGCGCCGCTGGGAACCCGGCGCGAGAACGCTCCGCGGGAGGCGCCAGGGCTGCGAGCCGCTCGGCCCCGGCCGGCG